TCCAGCAGAAAGGTGTAAGTGGAGCACACTTCCAATTAAAATGGTGTTAGATTTTCTACCTGCCTTGCTCTTGGTGAAGATTTTGCACTTTCTAGAACTGACTAAAATGTCCTTCTTGAACTGGAGAAATGCAGACCCCATCCTGAGAACAGCCAACAACACGCAGAGATGGAAATGTTGTGAAACTTTTCTTTTCCTGCATTAAATTCCTGGGAAAGGAACAGGTTTTAAGTGCTGCCAGGGAAATGTAATTGTACTGTCAGAGCAAAGGAGGGTAAAATAATAGATTGAAACCCAGCAAGTTCTGTACATCTTCATCAGTGGAATGGAAGCGTGATTCAGAGCCAAGAAAAAAAGACACTTCATCAGATTCTCATTTTAGAAGAGTTGGTTTTTCTTCTTTCAAACGCTCATCCATAAAGCAGGAACTAAATCATGGATTACAGGGGTGGGTAAAATAAGGGACTTCATTCTTAGGGATTCTAATGGAATTCCTCCCACTGCTTCTCCCCTCGCTGATCCAGGGCTGACAGGGGCTGTGCTCCTGTCACCTCGGGGTGGTGACAGCCCTGGCAGCTCCCAGCACGTGCAGGGAATGAGTTTTCCATGGGAAAAGCTGAGAATCCCCCCTGGGTTTCAGGGCCCTCGCTGAGAATGGAGCCCCTCCCTGGAGCTGTCTCCCTCTCCTGCAACAGGCAGGAGGATGCAGAGTGGGATTTGGGGACAAAATATTCCTATGGTTCAATGGAAGAAAGGACCAGTGGGTACTCAGCTCATCCAAACAGGTTTAAGCCACCCAGAGTGGCAGCTTTGGGAGTGTTTTCTACCTCAGCTTGCTTTGCTTGCTTCCTACCCTAGTTCTGGATTTAAAACCCCTCTTTTTTTGGTCCAGCTTAAAGAGTATCCAAGATGCTGGAATTAAAGCAGCCAACATCCAGCCCTCCCAGTGCACGTGTCCAGCAGGTGAAACCTCTGGATAACCAGGATGGAATCTCTCAAATGAACTGGATTACACCCAGATATTCAGCTTAGGCTCACGGGGGAGCAGGGACAGGAGCTGGGGATCCTCCTCCCTCCCACCCTCCTGCTCACCCTGGACCTGGGGTCTGTGATCACTGTCCCAGGTGCTGACAGTGACTGGGGGATAGGGGGGTGCCCATCGAGCAGGAAGGATTATTCTGTGAACTCTCTTTAATTCTCTATCATCTCCCACAGCGTGAGGATCACGGTCCTAACAAAGCCAAGCTTTCCTAATTTAAACCTTTCAGTTATGTTGCCATTGCTTCTGATCAGAAATTCCTCCTCAGTGGTGCACTCGTGGGTGGCCCTGGAGGTGACACACCTGGAGGAGCCTAACCCCTGGCTGTGAGCAGGGTCTGGCTCTCCAGGGGAACCAGCACCACCATCACGGAATATCCTGAGCTGGAAAGGAGCCACAAGGACCTGTGTCCAGCTCCTGGCTGTGCACAGGACAAAGGCACTGCCCCTGTCCTGCCTGGACACTCCCCAGCTGCGCTTTCCTCACGGCTGCCCCGAGGGAATGGCTTTGGCTCTGACAAACTGGAATGACAAGAGTGATTCCTGTCACTCTGACAGGTGAGCAGTGTTCCTTCCTTAGCAGCTTTTGCTGGAATTCACCTCCCCACGGCCTCCACGCTATCTCAGCATTGCTGAGGCTGCTGGTGCTTCTGCTGGCTCCTCCAGGAGCAGGGAATCCAAGCACTGCTAAAGCTCAGTGGTGATCAGGGCTGCAGCCTTGCAGGAGCAGGAACACAAATCCTTCCCAGCAGAGCTCGAGCCCCACCTGGAGAACCTTCCCAAAGTGACCTCAGCAAGCCCAGGACAGAAAGTGCTCAGGTTGAGTGGATCTCAGTCCCTCCTGAATGGAACCAAAGCCTCTCTCGGGCTGAAATCACCACGTTCCTCTCGAAGCCTTCCCTGCACGTCAATCCCCTTAATTGCACACGGTTTTTTGTGGCCAAGCCAACAGAGCTGCTCACGAATTCCTAATAATTTCCTAATCCATGAAAAGCCCCTGTCCCACTGCTGGGAGCTGTTTGCCCATCCCTGGAAGTCTGGGATGGCGTGTGCTCTGTCACGGTGGCACCCATGTCACGAACAGCCAGGGTTGCCATGGCAATCTCCTGTTCCTCCAGAACTGCAGGGCTGAAAAGACACTTCAATCCTCCTGGAACTGGCAAGAGCAGAAGTTTAGAGCTTTTTCTGACAGCTCTGCTGCAGTCTGGGTATTTTTTAAAGTATGTTAATTAGCACTTAAATAGGGTTTTTTTCCTTAAAGTATGGGATGTGGGGTTTTTATTTTTATGTCTTTGATTCTTCTGCTTTCTCCCCCCTCAGCTTTTGCCATCAGGTTCCAATCAGAATTTTACTGCTCTATTTTTACCTCCTGTCTGTAAAAGCAGCAAAAAGCCCTATTTTTCCCCTCTTGTGTCGAAGAGAAAAAAAAAAAAAAGAGATAAATGGTTATTACATAAATGGAGCCAGGGAGGGAGGTAGGAGACATCCAATGCTGCTGGATGGGAAGGTTGTGGGGAAGGAAAGGATGGAACAACTTGGCCTCATCCATCCTGCATTGCCAGAAGTCACTGACTAAAGATGCCTGGAGATGAAGGAAGGAAAAGGAGACCTCTGGCAAGACACAACCCTGATTCGTGATGGAAAAGTGAGGTTCCCTACAGAAAAATCACACCCCAGAGCCCCCAAAATCCTGTACCCAGTAAAATCAGTGGGGAGTTGTGCAATGAACTCTACTGACACCAGGCTATGGCTTTTACCAATATATTCATTATAGGTTTGGTTTTACAAATGGAGCTGCAAGGGGAAGGGTTGGGCTGGAGAATGGCTCTATTTACAAGGGTTTATGGAGCATGCAGAACGGAACTCTGGAACCTTCCAGAAAGCTTCAGGGAATGCAGACAATCATTGTCCATGATGTGCCTCTGGGCCTGCAGTCTGCTGGGGGTTTGTGGGTGAGGAAATGTGGGGAAATGCCTGCTTTGGGGTTGTGGGTTTGGGCTCAGTGCAGGCACAACTCTTCCCTGTCCTCCCCCCATCCCTCCCCTCCATCTGCCCATGCTCACTCCAGCATAATCCCAGGGACAAAATGAGTATTCCTCTGTGGCAAGGAACATTCAGACTTTTTTTCCCACAGCTGCCACCTTTCCACAGACCCCTGAGACCTAAAAATGGGGATGAGTTTCCTTAAAATTGTCTCCAAGCTCATTATCTGTAATGCCCAGCACAGGAAACGTGTCTGGGCTCCCCAGCACCGAGAATCCCACACCAGAATATCCCACAGATATTCTGCTGCTGCCCTGGAGAAAATGGAAATATCTCCATCTTCTGGGAGACAAAATCTTTTTTTTTTATGGAAAAAAATGCAGTTCACCTCTGTTGGTCACAGTAGAACAGAAATGCAGGAGTTGTGTGTTTGGGAAAGGCAGAACAAACCAACTCAGCTGCTGAGGAAAAGGTGTTGTCTTTGGGGTGGAGGGGACACCAGGAAAATGGCAGGACAAGGTGGAGGTGGGAGGCTGAGACACCTAAAAGTGACTTGAGTTTAAAGGCGTGGTGGGAGACAGGACAAAGAGCAGCAGACTTTTAAATAAGGCTGCCAAAAATACAGGTAAATGTTGTCACTCAGGTAGAAAAGCAAGAGCTGGGATGGGTGTTGGGGATGGATCCAGTGGAAGCCAGTGTGGGACTGTGCAACCCCCAGGGGAGCCACCCTGCCCTCTGTGGCACAGGGAACAGTCACCTCCACTTCCAGGAGCGACATCTCAGGGCTCCTGGGTGTGCCTGGAGCTCTCCCAGCACAGCCACCCCACTCCAACACCCGAGTGCCTCCATGGAACTCCTTGGAGCGCTCCACGATCACCAGCTGGGAGACCCCTCCCACGAGAGCAGGAGATCACCTCTGTCCTGGTGTGGCACCCAGGGGCACAGTTCATCCAAAGGGAAATGCACGGATTTGTATCAAGTTTTAAAGGAAAAACACATTCCCAAGCAATCCCGGCTCCTTGCACTTCCCGTGTGGTGTCCCTGCTCTGCATCATTCCATCTTCTCCTTGCTGCTCCTTAAGAGGTATTCCAGGAAAAGCACCCAGCGCTCCCCGACCTGGAAGTCTGACACACTTCAAACACACGGGAGTGGGCTCAGGTCTGGTTCCTTCTCCTGCTGCGCTCGGCTTTTCCCCCTTTGGAGCCTGCCCATGGGATGGGGGTGGTGGGATGGATCCTGGGAGGGAACGGAGAACTTGTCTGGTCAAATCCACACTTTACCATGCGGGTGAAAATAAAACCTCCCCCACAGGATGATGTCTGCCATGGAGGTTTCACTGCAGATCATGAGCAGGCCACATGAAATGGAATCAATTAAATTGTGCAAGCAAGGAGAGGGGAGGAATGCTCGAGAAGAGCTTCCCTCAGGATTTTCACCTGGGAAAAAATTCTTGAAGACCAATGAAGAAGAAGGGGAAAACTGCTGGAGAGGAAATGTTGAATATGCAGAAAGGCCCGAGGAGAGGGAAGTTTAGCTGGCGCTGGTGGTGGCAGAGTCCCTTGGAAGACTTTGCACAAGTTCAGCAATGCCCAGGTGGTGCTCCTCAAGCCCTGATTCACAGTCAGAAAAAAATGGCCAACAGACTCCTGCTACCCCCACAGTCTCATGTCAAAGGTGGAGTTGATGAAGCAAAAAATAGACATTTTGTATGGTGCTGGCAAATTCTCCCCCTTTTTCATCAGAAAATACTGTACAAGGATGCTCTAGCTCCCCTCTAATGCCGTAAACTCCATGGCATGGTCATAAGGGAAAAGGAAAGTGAAGCTGGAACACGTGGAACAAAAGGAACTCGCTTGTGGCAATGCTACGATCGACTTCCTGCGAGCGTGGGCCCGGCGGGAGCTCCGTGGGACAGTCAGTGGGCCCTGGGGAAAGGACGAGTCCCGAGGCTGGGCCTCCTTCAAAGCGCAGAGCGCCGGAGCCCGGCCTCCTCCGCGCTGCCATTGCTGTTTCGAAGCAATAATACGGGACTCCTGGATATGGGATTATTGCATTAGGAAACAAAACCTTTAAAGCATTAGAACAGCCCTTTGATGTCCCTGCCAAAAGGATGTGGTTGGTTCACAGGACACGCTGCTGGCTCAGGCTCCTGCCGCAGGCGCCGGCTGTGCCCGCGTGTCGGTGCCGTGGGATCGGGGCGGGAGCTCTCCCGGGTGCGCATGCATGGCTGCCATCCCGTGCCAGGACCACTCCAGCCGTGCCAGCACTACTCCATGCCGCTGCGCAGGATCTGGTTGGCCGCGATCAGCATCACGCTGATGATGAAGGCCATGGCGAAGGCGCAGATGAGGCTCTTGCGCACGCACGTCTGGCGGTTCTGCTTCTGGGCGTGCACTGCGGGGACAAGAGGGGCGGTCAGACGGGGCACGGGCTCTGTTCCCTCTGTTCCCTCCTGCGGCAGCTCAGGAATGCTCCTGGGCTCTCTTTAGAACCCTCCTGTGCTCACTGTCACCACTCCCTGCTGGGACATTCCCAACCCACCCAACCTTCCAGGACTCCCAAACCAGCCCATCCCAGTCCCTCCTAACCCTTCCCTCCCCTCCCTCATCATGGCTTTTAATCCCTTTACATGTTCACAGGGATATTTGGGATTAGCTTTGTATTTCCTTTAAGCTCTTTGTGAAGATGGAATCATAGAAAGGTTGGGTTGGGTTGGGTTGGAAGTGACCTGGGGCACTTCCAGGGATCCAGGGGCAGCCAGCACCTGTGCCAGGGCCTCCTCACAGGGAACATTTTTTTATCCTCTCTGAACTAAACTTCCCCTCTTTCAGTTTGAACCAAGCTGTCTCTAAAGTTCTTTAACAACAATTATTGACCTTGTGTGAATTCCTCCAACTCATCCAGGTCAACTGGGAATGAGTGGAAAATCAAGAAGTGCTCCCTGATTACACTCAGACCCCCACTGTGACAATTCCCAGGAATATCCATGGTACGTGCGTCACTTTTCCAAACTTTAAGTTTTCTGTGCTTGACCAAAATCAGATTTATTAAGAACCTTTCCAAGTGAATGCTTGCGGAATAATTGACAAAAGAGGTGAGAGCAGCAACTAAAAAGCAGATAGAGTTGGGATTTTTAGCACTTGTTTTCTTTAATTTTACTTTTTGCTAAGCTTGTCAGTGGGAATTTGTGCTGTGACTTAATAAAGCCAGTTCATGGCTCTGTCTTGGTCTCCCTCTCCTCCTGTCCCTGTTCCCTGGCAGCAGAGCCTGATCCCCCGGCTGTCCCCTCCTGCCAGGGACTTGTGCAGAGCCAGAATTTCCCCCTGAGCCCCCTTTTCTCCAGGCTCCCTCAGTGGCACAGAGCACTGCCCCCAGAACTCCTGCAGCAGGAGCTGGGGTTAATGGGGCCAGGCTGTTTCCAGGTCACCATGCCCAGGGTGGCTTTGGGATGTGCTCCCAGCACTGGCAGCTTTCTCCCCTGCAGGAGAGCAGTTCCTCACAAGGACAGCAGCAGTGTATTTATTTATAGTGGCCGTGTCCCAGCCCTGCCACAGGTGAGTGATGGTGGCTCGCTCTGGCTGCCTGCAGTTATTTTGGGTTTTACAGCTCCGTTTGTCATTCCCAAGCCCAGCTGGGCGGGCTGGGGGGGCAGGGAGGAGCTGCTGGCTGCATCCCGTGGGTTTGAGGGTCACAGCTGAGGGTGGAAGCCCCCTGGCAGGCAGCAGCAGCCCTGTAGCCACTGGCACTGCTGTGCCACAGCTCTGTGTCCTGAGTGCTGGACCAAGGGAACTGCCAGGAGAAGGCTGCTGGACTGTAAATCTTTGGGAGGACAGTGCTGCTGCAAACTGTCCTTTCCCTGTGTCCCATGAAATCACACAGCATTCACTGTCCTACCCTGAGCCCTGATAAAAACAGAGATAAAGATGAGGACAGAGCTGTGCCTCTGCCCTGGGTGTGTCCTTCCCCTGGATGTGACATCCTGCAATGTGACTTCAATGTTCAGAGAGAGCTGAGGAAACCCTGGGCTTGGCCCTGACTGCAATACAGACATTTGAATTGGGATAAACTCTGAGGTGAGAGGTACAAGGTCCGTCATCCACATTGATACTGAAGATTTCATCGTCATAAAGACTTCAGTATCACATAATGGCATAATTGTATGACAGAAATCTCTTCAGGACCTGAGCCAGCTCACCTGTAGAGAAGGGGGATGTCTCTGCCCACAGGAGGAGAAAGGTTTGGGGCTGGGATCTAAGAACACACCCAGGGGTGACACTGAGTGGAGATCCCAATTCCACCAAGGTGCTCCTGTCTCCCCTAGGAGATCCCCAAATCTCAGTGAGAACCACTGGGGCTCATCTTGGCTTCATTCCTCCCCAGAATTAAAGGCCCTTCAGTGGGATGGATGATACATTAAATATAGATGGGAGCTGAAAGAAATATTTGAATTGCTATTTGAGGAGTTGAACTAAGAAAAAGGAAGTTCTTTTAGGGTGCAATTCACCTCATCCCAAGGTAACACCTAAATTAAACTCAAGGAATTCTCCCCAAAAGGCATCTCCTTCAGTGCACTAATTGGAAGTGAGTGACCCCCAGGGAGACCCTCCAGGACAGCTTAGAGCTGTCCCTTAGTGCCACATTCCATGCCATGTTATTCCTGCTACTGGGTCCTGTAGGGATCCTGGTGGTTGAGGACTGGGAGCTCTGAAGGCACTGGGGGGTCATTCCTGGCAGCCTGGAGAGCTGCAGGGACACAGCCCATTCTTTCCTGGCAGAAATGCTCCTGTCAGAGCTGTCAGACGCCAGAACTGTCCCCTGCCACTGGCACCCGGAGCAAAACTTTGTCCCATTGCTGACAGTTCGGCTGATCTTTATTCCCTGCTGGATTTGTGTGTGTTCCCAACATTTTAAAAAGATGTTTTGCTTCTAGGTTCTGCCTGGCACCAGCAATGCCAAAACATCCCACGAGAAAAGCTGTTCCTGCTGCACTTTTGGAAACTGGAGCTTCCAAAATGAGATGCTGAGGATCTGGGACTCGGTTTTTTTCTGGGATGGTTCAGCCAAGCTCCCAAAACCCTGCAGCAGTGACAGCTGGTTCCTGTCCCCAGGGATCAGCAGGTCAGTGGGCACCAACAGCTCCAGGCAAGGAAGAAGCAGCTCTCCCTCCCTGCTGCTCTCCAGGAGGAACACAAAAATTGTTGCTTGGTGTGATTCAGAGAGTGTTGCTGCTGCCTCCTCCTGCAGGTTTTTTAAAATTCAGCTGGGCTCCTCTAGCTCCTCTGCAGTGTTTAACAGAGGTGAGGGTGAGGATGGAGCTGCTGCATCCCATTCATTAGCCAGGCCAAGGACTGGTCTATCTTCATCCTCTGCCTTGTGCTTCTGCCTGCTGCCTTTTCAGAGATGTCGGGGAAATTCAGCCTGGCTTAGACACTCACCCTTGTCCCGGATCACAGAGAGTTTTACAGACACAGGAAGAGGAGAACTGAACAGAAACCCAGGGACTTTCCCTCTCACCTTCAAACTCCGTTTGGCAGTTCCCAGAGTTCTCATTCAAGCTCTCCTCCTCGTTGATGATGATGTTCTCGATGTCCTTCATGGTGAGGTGGTCGCGGAAGGCGTGGTACAGGATATGCTTCAGCTCCTCCAGCGTTATCCTCTGCATGTCAAACTGTGGGAGAGAGCCCAGTTACACCCAGCTGTGAGGGCAATGCCACAGTCCCCAACTTGTGTTTTATCAGCCTCATTCCAACAGCTCAGTGTGGGTTTTGCTCTTTGGGGTTGGTTTCACTCTAACAGTGAGTGCTGTAAATGGCTCTTGGCCCTGTCAGCTCCTGTTTCGTGCTGGTCACAGGCTGGAGACCACGCAGGACAGGACATGGGGGGATGGCTCCCCACTGCCAGAGGTTAGATGGGATTTTGGGCAGGAATTGCTCTCTGGGAGGGTGGTGAGCCCTGGCACAGGATGCCCAGAGCAGCTGTGGCACCCCTGGATCCCTGGCAGTGCCCAAGGCCAGGCTGGATGGGGCTGGGAGCACCTGGGACAGTGGGAGATGTCCCTGACGTGGCAGGGGTGGCACTGGATGGGCTTTGAGGTTGCTCCCACCCCAAGCCTTTCTGTGATTCTGATTCCCTGGAGGCAGAAAAACCAAACCCACAAACTACAGCAGACCCCAGACTGGTACTGGCCTTGGGAAATTGTCCGTGAGCCAGGAACTGGAAAAGAATTCCAGCAGAGGTTGAACATCAGCCCCAGTGGGGTGGAGTGGGGTCACCACATGCTGAGGGGCTGCTCCTGCAGGCAGGAGGTGGCCACAGGGATGGGATTATGGGTTTGCTGGATGGGTGGAGCCAGGAAGGGGCTCAATTTCAGGCTGGAGATTCCTGGGATGATGACTCCAAAGGAATGCAGGATGGGGTGTTGGGTGAGAAATCCTTGGATTTACCCCCATGCAATCAGCACTGCAGGAAGCTGCCCAGGAGGGCTGGGAACCCCTCACTGCCCCTTGCAAACCTCCAACCACAGCCCCAGCACTGCTGCAAGGCAACCAGAGGAATTATCCCAAATTTCCACACCTTCAGTTGCCAGGAGAAACGCTTTTTGTCATGGAACAGGATGTGAAGAGCACAGCTGCTCCCTTTTCAACAATAAAGACAGCAGAGCAGGGCTGGTGAGATTTGTTCATGCACAACAAAGCAGGATGGAAATTGGTGATTAAATCCCAGGGGGATTTGCAGCCCAGCTTTGAACTGGGCACCAAGGAGCCACTGGTGACAATGAGCGCTCACTATTTTTATCTGAATCCCTGAGGAACAAGGACAGCAGAAACACCAAACCCACCATCCCTGCTGCTCACAGAAATGGTTTTCATCTGGACTGAGCCGGGAACTTGGTCTCTGGTCCCTGCTGCCCACCTCCCTGCACATTTCCTGCAACAGGGCTGGGATCTGTGCAGGAAATAAGTGAATTGGAGGAATTGGCAAAACCTGCCTGCACACACAGGGATATATGGGA